GTATTTGTACTTAGTTACTTTTCAACTCTGTCGTCAAGTGATTAAAAACCAAAAGTTCTAGCACACGTCTGAGTTAAATACTTCAATATATGAATTACTAAAACAGCCCCATGTGTGTAGAAGAAGTTAGATTGTAAAACATGCAGAAAAATAAAAGACAGAAAAACAATAGTATGAATTTGGCGGTTTATAAATCCTCCATCTCCAAAGTTCCGTTTGCTTCTCCTCCTGCACAGATCACAGCTTTTTTGGCACCGAGTGGCAGAAGAGATGGTGCGCTCTGAGCCATCACACCTTCTACTATTACGGCAGTGAGAAAGGTACGCGTCGTGTCCGAGATCCGTCCGACAGAGGCAACTTTTCCTCCGGCGTTTTTTTTCTGATACCATCGCTGATTCCACTTCAACTTTCTCCAACCAGACAAGCAGCAGAAAGGTGAGTTCAGCATCGACGGCTACTTCGTCAAAATGAACACCAGCCTACGGAAAGACTCGAAGAAAGACTGCTGCTTCGAAATTTCAGCTCCGGACAAGCGAGTCTATCAGGTGGGCTCATCTTTCTGACACTGCTGAATTTCATTATCACCTGTGCCGATGGGCTCAATGAATGATGTTTTCGCCAATCTGTTAGCAAAATATCTTAGGTCATATTTGAATGAAACTCTCAAAAAGCAAGCGTTGTACACACCTCTACAAATGTTCAACGTTTGGAGGTAACCCAGTTCACGATGGCTTAAACACAAAGATAACTGGAACTGGGACGATTTTAAACACACTGTGGCTGGAGAATGTGTGTAACGGTACTTTCCAGATTTGACCAGAACAGCTGCAGCTCTGTCATTTCTCATTACGAGATGATCTAAGACAAAGATAATTTATCTTGTCTTATCTTTTTGGGTCAAGCCTTCAAATGACGTTAGGAGAGATGTTCCACTAAAATTATGACTCTTGGGTAATACCACGTCAAATTTTAGACCCAATACCCGCAAGATTTTCTGAATTATAATCCTTTATGTGTCGGCTAGTGTCACTTAGTTGTGGCAGCCATTTTGATTTAGATTGACTCTAAAAGGTAATCGGTTGCGGAGATACATCTTGTGATGACTTTCTGAGAGTTTCATTGAAATTCCTTGAGTCGTTCATGAGATATTTTGCTAACAGACAACAGGGTTGATGCCAACAGTTAAAGTGCCTGTGACATCAATTTTTTGTGATAAATGTGATTGCACTTTTGGAAAGATAACATGGATAACATATTGCAAAAAGAATTTCACACCACTGAGATGAACAGTTGTTGAGATATTGGCATGTGAAGTAACAGGAAGTGATGTCAAAGAGGAATGTCTGCATTTAAACAGAGAAAAAGCTACAACACAGACAGCAGGGAATTTTCTGATGTTTCTTTAGATAATTTTAGTCCTTATAAGAGAGAGATGAAAAAAGTCAGTTCAAATAATATTTGTTTAAATAAAAACCAGGGAGTTTTCTTTCTTAAAGAGTTCCCCTTTGATGTCACTTCCTGTTTCACTTTAGCTGAGCAAAATTCAAAGGAAAATATGCCAATTTTGTGACATAATGGGTTAAATYATGTGTTTTATGCTAATTTTCCTAAACATGAAGATATTTTCTTTGACTTTTTGTATTTGAAGGATAAGCATGTCACAGGCACTTTAATGAGTTTTAAGCAACAATCTTGTACGACGAGTAGCATTTTAAGCTATTTGGTCTAGTCAAAATATAATTGCAGCTATCTTAAATAAATAATAATGTCTAGTCATAAACCAATTGTATGGTAAGGTCGATTGTATGTTAAAATGGCCTGCCATACATTCCAGTTCTGTGCGTCGTCCCTGAAAGAGGCAGAGGAATGGGTGAAACAGATYGACTTTGTGTTGCGAGGTGGGAGTTTTTTCCTCTTTATGATGCTCCGTTTTATTAGTAGAATACTTTTTTTTTAAAATTTGAGTTACCTAAAGATGTCCCCATTCCTCCTCACTTCAGATATGTCAGGGATCATCCCAGAGGAAGAGGACGAAATGTACGATGATGTTGGTAATGCTGGAGGAGTTGYTGAACCTGAAGGTGAAGAGAATGATGAAATTTACGAGGAGCTCCCAGGTTTGACCACATTCTCTGCTCTTTATGTACATTTATTTTAAAGTCTTTAGTTTGAAAAGACAATATTCTGCTCACTGTCATGTTCTTGTAGAGGATGAAATCCCGGCTCCAGTAAAGTCTCCTCCGAAGAAGGTGGAGCCACTGAGCAAACCCAGTCCTCCTCCTGCAGCTCCTGCTTCTCCTGCAGGTACCTGACACATTTTTTTCCCTCCAGTGTGAGTTAGAATCGAACTTTCACATGAGGATGGATCAGCAAACTCATGTTCTGTTTGCAGTGGTGGGCACCAGCCCGCTAAAGCACAAACCCGCTAATTGCGGACCTAAATATTTCGTTTGCCCTTTAGCGATCTTACTAACATTTTATAATTCATAAGCGGATTTGAGCTTTCTAAAATTAAAATGCAGTACCACTAATAACTAATTATYTACCAGTCATCATTATCTTGAACAGCAGAAGGTATGGCTGTCAATGAATCACAACACATGTGATCTATTCAACAACACCACTCCCAGATAAATACACTTACTGGAAAGGTATACATCCTTGCTGAATGTTGCTTTGGGCCACGGTTCTCATTTCCCACAATGCTTTGTGTCTGCTTACGTAGCAGGAAGCCAATAGCAGTTAACGTTTGTAATCCATACTAAAATTTTGTATGCATTGATTTATTTTACTTTACAATCGGAGCTCCTTTAAAAATTAAAATTTAAACGCTGGAGCTCAATACTTGACGTAATTGGTCGAAGGAGCAATCGGCCAGCAGGGTTAGAGATTCAGAAATGATTTAAAGATGTTATGCTGATGAAGACTGACATCTAGTGGTCAACTGGAGCAACTGTGCTTTCGTTTCCCGTCACGAATCAAATCCGTCATGTACCCAGAATGCATCGCTTCAGTTTTCCAATAAACAGTTTTAAAATTACTTTACTGATGCTTCATTAATGAAAAATCTACAACAAGCAAAAGAAAAAGACAAAGAAGCAGTCGAACTAGCAATCCTCAACAACTTTTTAAAGAATCAGCCGAACTAGCAATCCTTAACAACTTTTTAATTTTTACACCAGAAGCCAAAGGTCTGTTTCAGGAAATCACATCCCCAGCAATTGGCGGTTGTAGAATTAAGTTGTAAAAGAGTTCATACACCACTAGTTKGTAGTGTTGTGCATATATTGTACACAAATTGTAGCCAAAAAGTAAGTGTCAAGTTGAACTTGCGCTTTAATATTAGCTTATGCTAATATTTCTATGACATAAGCGCTTTTGAGTTTGCCCACCTATATATTTACATAAGCGCTTTAGAAATTGTGGAGCTAAATTTTGGATTAGCGCTGCCCACCACTGTCTGTCTGAGCAAAAATATCCACTCTGATGCCACAGTGAGGAAATGACATTTACAGAGGAAGTTTCTGAGAATGACTGAAAGTTAACACAACTCTGGAAATAACTTGACCCAACTCGCTTCAACTTCCTTTTTACAAGAAGTAACACATTTTCTGTTCCAGAAATACTTGTCTTAATGTTTCACGTGTCAACAACAAACTCTAAAGCTCTAGTTAAGATAAACACGTTATTTAAGAAGTTATTTTTTGTTGAGTTTTGTTAAGGAATAGGATCAGCAGCATCTTTCATCCTTTCCTTTCATGCAGTTGACAAGAGCACAGATTACCCCAACTACTACCAGGGTTTATGGGACTGTGTAGGAGACCAATCAGATGAGTTGTCCTTCAAACGTGGAGAGTCCATCTACATCCTGAGCAAGGTATGGAGACAAAACTCTTTGTTAGGGATGTCCTCCTCTAGATTTCATTTGTCCCCGATAGTTGCTTAAAAATAAGGACTGTAAAATTTTATTTTACATCACAGATTATAAAGCATAAGTACATTAATTTTATTAAAATGAGTTATTTTTGTGCTCGACGTTAGCATTAGCTCAAGGTCTGATGGCCCATTACTGAACTGCTATCCTTCTGTGTTTTATCTTCATAACATAGATAACGGTAAATTGGCACGTTAAATCAACATTCAATGCATGTGTCAAACTMAAGGCCYACGGACCAAATGTGGCCCACCACAGCATTTTATGTGGCCCACAAGAGCTTCAAAGTTATATTTATGTCTTAAAATAACCATATTCTGCTTTAAAACTAACATTGCCCATAAACTACACGTCCCATAATGCATGATGATTATTTCACCCGCAAAATAACAGCATCCCGCCTCTAGGTGGAGGTGCACATGGTTCAAAAGTAGCTGGTGAAGTTTGACGTGTAAAATCTCCATTTAGCTGCATTTTTGTAACTGGTTTTGTTGCATCACAGTTGTACTTGGAAGTGGGAATTTCCCACTTACAAGTTGTGAATTTAAACTGAGAACACCCCGCCAGTGGAAATTCCTGGTGGAAGGTGGGAGAGTTCAGACTTCAAGATGGCGGGTACTCACCACAACTCAACAAAAACCATATGAAACAACATCTTCTAATTTTAATTCTAATAAATTTCTGTATTTTTTATTTCACATTTAGTCAGTCGTACACGTAGTACTTCTCAGTGTTTTGAAAACACTGTTTCTATGCAGGATGTACTATGTAGAGCTCAGTTATTGTTTGTTAGCAGTGCTCAGCCATAGCATTGAGATGAGGATTAGTTGATTAGTTGAAGTTAAATATGAAACGAAGTTAATTACAGTCATACTCATGTGGCCCTCAGTGAAAATGAGTTTGACACCTCTGCTTTACTGTTTTATATCTGCCGTGGCTGTAGGTCAACAACTACGGTCAGGAGGAGCAGCTACTTCAATCTGATACTTATGATCAAAATCTTAACATTCCCAGTTGTACAGATACTTTTTTTCAGTTTCTCAGAGAGTGTTTTCCTGATGCATGGCAAAGCCAGCATTAACCCAGACCCAACAAAAATAAAAATCAATGGTTCTTAGTTCATATAAATAAATTTTTTTTGAATAACTTTAAAGGAACTGATGGGTTTGATTCTGTTCCTGGCAGCGCCTTAGATGGACATCTGATGTTGAGAGGCGTACTGCGTTAGAACCCACCTCTTATACACACACACACACACACACACACACACACACACA